CTCGCGATTTCAACGGAATCTAACCCGCAGATTTGATAACGTTTTGACGGTTTACTCGCAGAAGGAAAATAAAAGTCAAGCTTAAAGGCTAAAGGAAGGTTTGAAGAGAAAGAGAAGATTTCCGCGGAAGAAAAGGAAGGATCGAGAAGAATGGAAAATTTCCGATTTAGTCAAATATGGGCGAAATGGAAAGATCGGATAGGCAAGACGAGGAGTATATAAAGAGGAGGTCTAGGGCAGAAGCACACACACGAAATTCAGAGCTCTCACCACCAAAACTAGCATTTAGGAATCTTTCTGTTTTTCTGTTAGCGAGCTGCGTCTCAATTAGGGTTTTCGTTCTTAAGCTTTTTCGGCTACTCTTTTGTACCAGTTCTACGCAGATTCGGAATAAGAACCTCTTTGCTCTCTATTTCGTTTATTTTCATTCAAATTCTAAGTTATCGTTTTCTTATTATTCGTTGTGCGGTTCTCGCAGATAGCCGGTTCCTCTGGAAANGCTGCGTCTCAATTAGGGTTTTCGTTCTTAAGCTTTTTCGGCTACTCTTTTGTACCAGTTCTACGCAGATTCGGAATAAGAACCTCTTTGCTCTCTATTTCGTTTATTTTCATTCAAATTCTAAGTTATCGTTTTCTTATTATTCGTTGTGCGGTTCTCGCAGATAGCCGGTTCCTCTGGAAACTTAGGGTTTTCCCGACCTTTTTTACGATTTATTTGACAGTATGGTGAAATCGACTCCCACAAAACTTGCGACATTATAAAACTTGCGACATTATGCTCCAGAAAGAGAGTCTTATCTCTATCATCAGTTGTATGTTCTTGCGACATTATAAAACTTTCTTTTGTATAGTTTTGGATGAAAGCGAGAGATAATATGTATGCTAGGAGATATATGCATCTTATTACAGGGACGAATGACACTTTTTATATTACAAAATTGGATTTTATTATCATAAATTTTGACATGTGTCAAAATTAAATTTATATGTGTACATAGTATATTATAATAAAAATAGAATGTAAGATTTATGGTAGAATACAATAAAAGAAAGATTGAAATTAGTTGTCCTGCCAACTTTTTCATTTAAGAATTTTATCAAAAGATCTCAAAAAAAAGAAACAAACTATTTGACTTTCTCTTTTTCTACATGACTTTCCGACTGTGTTTTTTCTTTAAAAAACATACTATTTAGAAATGTAAGAAATTATTTTTTCACTATGAATTAACTTGTGAGGATGATTTATTTCAATTTTTTATTAAGGAGTTTTGTCTTAGCTTAATAGATTTTCATTCCAGATTGGACTTCCAACTATGCCAGAATTTTACCCCCACCTAAAATTCAAAACAAAAATATGAACTTTTATTGAACAAAACAATTTACAAGTACCTATATGGGGCTGAGACATGAAAACCCCAGTCTCGATGGGAACTATGCCAAGGGTACAGGCTACTTAAAAGAAACATTTTTGTATGAATATGTACAGAAGTAATAAGATAACCGGGTTTAATTCGCCATCATGGTAAATAATGAGTATTGGTTAGTTTACCTTAACATATTTAGATATATATATATATATATATATATATATATATATATATATATATATATATATTTATTTATTTATATGAAACAGATTATTGTTGGGGTGAAAATCAGTTACGACGAAGTTTACATCCAAGTATCAAATAAAAGCCCAAAATTGGTCGTTACATAACGACCGAACACGTACACGCTCAGTCACTACGTAGCGACCGAGCTCGAGCCAAAGCTCGGTCGCTACGTAGTGACCGAGCTCGAGCTAAATCTCGGTCGCTACGTTGCGACCGGCTCAAGCCAAAGCTCGTTCGCTACGTAGCGACCGAGCTCAAGTCAAAGCTTGGTTGCTACGTAGCGACCGAGCTCAAGCCAAAGCTCGGTCGCTATGTAGAGACCGTCTCAAGCCAAAGCTTGGTCGCACGTACACCTTCGGTTGCTACGTAGCGACCTAGCTCAAGACAATAGCGACCGAGCACGTACACGCTCGATCGCTACGTAGAGATTGCTACGCTCTCGTCTACTCTTTAATGCAATCTCCCAAAGGCCACAATTGAACGACCACTCCTTTCTTACTGATCGGAGTTATCGTTCATAATTTATGATAAAAACCACAGAAAGTTTATTTTTATCAAAAAGAAACCATAAAAACGTCTCGAGTTGAAATACGGCCCAAAGAAGCCTAGAATGAAACGAGAAGCCCATTTACGGTTTTTATTGAAAAAGACCATAGATCCTATGACAATTTATCCTTGGTTCGCAAGAGAAGATAAATGTGAATTTTTCGCGGATAAATGAAAAGTTCCAAAGATAATAGTGAAGATCGGGAAAAATGAAAATCTCCATTTTTGGGTTATGATGGCTTAAGGGCAGAAGTGCAAAGCGTAAATCGACAAGACAGAGAAAACTTAGCACTTAGAGCATTTAGGCAATTTTCCGTTTTTGTTATTCGAGTTGCGTCTCAATTAGGGTTTCCGCAGTCTAAGGTTGCTAGAACTAGGATCTCTCCGTCAGCTCTTGTAGCCAAGGCTCCTAACTCGTTATAACGCTCATATGCAGAATCGGAATAAGAATTATTTTTGCTCTCTTTTTAATTCATATTTATATTATCGTCTTTCTACTTCTTGTTCTTGATTGCTTAGCGTGTGGTTCAACAGATAACTGGGATCTCTGGGAAACTAGGGTTTACCTTACGTTTCTATTGAACGGAAATCGACAGTGCGAATTTTGGTTCCCACAGTTTGGTACTAGAAGGAGGGGGGGGGGTTACGGATCTATCTAACTCGCAAGCCACAACACACTCGGTCAGAAACATGAGTGACTCGACAAGTTCGGACGGAAGACAACTAGATTCTTTAAAAATGGTCTGGGTGTTTTCCTTTTTCATCCATTTGTGTATCACGAATCTATGTTGCTTACATGGAGCTCGTTTAGTATTTTCAGTATTGAACATGTAAACTTTTTATACTGTTCAAGTGTTTTCTTTTCGCACCTGTTTGTGTATCAAGAATCCAGACTTGCTTACATGGAGCTGGTATGATATTTCCAGAGCTTTGGCTTTGAAAGTAAAGGGGTGGTTACTTATGCTTTATCTGTAGCATGGGGCTAAAATAAAGCCTAGTATTACTCTATTTTCAAGCTGTGTAATCAAATTCTTGCTGCTGCTAACTGTCTACTTCCTCGGTTTTTATTAGCTATAAAACCTTTGATGTCATGTGTTCTCTCTTGGATTAGCTATACAGCTAATACTACTCTGTTTTCAAGCTGTGTAATCAAATTCTTCTTGTTGCTAACTCTCTTTCTTCTTCGGTTTCTATTAGCTATGAAACCTTTGATGTCATGTGTTCTCTCTTTGATACATTTGTTCAATCGCGACTATAAGTTCAATTTTGTTTTTGAAAACGTGATTGGGTTAATGGCAGTAGAGTAAAGCGTAGACGTTAGAAAATATGAACTATCTGAATGTTCCTAGAGCCATGGTAAAAATATATATGAAATGATTGATATGCTGTACGAATATATGTTGTTAAATGAGTTGATATCAAATGGCTATAGCTTCATTAACACTATGACGAAGATGGCAGAATATATAGCTCAACGAAAATAACATTTTAAAAATAATTTCACCCCACCATTATAAGGAGGTCAAAGAACTGCAAGCAACATTTCCATGAACTTGAGTTCACAAGTTGTAATTGCATATCTCGATACTTGACTCTAGAAAAATTTGATATCCGTATTGAGACTCACGTTTTCGAATTAAACTAGAACTTTTATCAGGTTCGTAACATTGTTATTTGAACAAAACCAAAACAACAAAACTCAAACTAAACTCAGATTTATAAATAACCGAACTGTTACTATATTTCTTGAACCGAAATCAAAATCCACAACCAAACCAGACCCAATTGAAAACCAAAAAATAAAATCCGGACGCAAACCAAAGTTTATAGAATATCATCAAATCATAAATTTTTATTCACAAACATAAATTATTAATATAAATAATTCCACACAACCTCACGGATCAGACTCTAGTAATATTATTAAAAAATCGTAATATTTCCGTGTCAATGACATAATATAAAAAAATAAAATAAGAATTATGTCTTAAGTGCTTCCGGTTCACGGCATTCTTTTTTCTCAATCGATAGAAGCTTAATTGCAATACATTATCAAAATTGAAATTACCTAGACAAACTATATATTTGATATTGTGCTCTGGTTTATTGATTAAGAGAACTTGCAAGGATCTCATGGATTTATAAACTATAATCGAATCTAT